CTAATAAATAAAAAAGTAAAAAAATAAATAAATAATAATAATAATAAAAAAAACTTCTGCTTTGGAATAAAAAAGCTGTTATCCCCATGTATTGTTATTCTTAATTAGAAAGTCTAATAAATAAAAACGTAAAAAAATAAATAAATTAAAAAAAAAAAAAAAAAAACCCAAAAAACGGACGCATAGAGTTTTTTTTTTTTTTTTACAAACTGTAATAATAGTAAAAGTAATAAACATAAAATAAAAAAATAACAATACCATTATTTTTATTTTATGATGACCACAATGACTATAGCTGTTACGCATTTAATGTTATTGTCATTTTTTTGTTTTAATAAATTTTTTTGTTCAAAATCTTTGTGTTCTTAAAATATGCAAAGTTTATTTCTGTGTCTTTATCCGATTATTGAAATATAATTAGATGAAAAGTATATTTTCACAATATATATTTGTTAAAATCGTTAGATATGTATGCATCTTTTCAGTTTTATACTTCATACTTTATTTTTCTTTCAACTTATTATTATTATGCAATTAGTGTGTCTCTAAATTCTTAAACTGAACATACAGCATCACTTTAGTTTTTGTTTATTTTTTGAATAACAATGAAAGCTGCAATTGTGAACTTGTATACATTTTATTAAACACAGCTGAATTAATTAAAGGAATGATTTTAAACTAGAGTATTATATCAAGTCAATGAAACTTCTGTTATATTTATGTAGCTAGTTAAGTTTTAGAGGTTGTTTTTACTTTTAAAGTAGCTTTTTGGTTTTAATAAAATCAACAAAAGATGTGCTGAAGGGTCAGTAATAAAATGACCCCAAAATAAAGGAATAACTTTACAGGTGGTGGCCATAGATATTTTTTGCAAGTTGTTTTTTGATTGCTTTTTCATCCGACCACTGTCACTGTCTCTAATGGTAGCATGACTTGCACCCTGCAGAGGTTGCACAGGCAGTTCAGCTCCACCAGGATGTTTTGAACAGACTTCATGCAGATGCCCTGAGGGCTTCATGCCCTCTGAATGATGTCCCCTGGAGATCATTTGGCCTTACCAGGAAATAATGTAATTCTGTATATATAAAAAAGACTTTATTGATCCCAATGGGCAATTGTATAAAGCATCAAAGATGGCAAGTTTGGTACTTAACATGAATAAGAGAAGGTTTACTCTAAGCTTGTGTGATAGATATGACAGGGTCTGGAGAAGCTGTGCAACTCATCCTGCCTACAGCATTTTGGTATGATTGCTTTGGTGGTGGGTTAATGAGCTGTGCGAGATAAACGGTGGCTCCCTAACTTCATGTTGTAGCACTACTTTTAGACGCTTGCAATAGAAAGATTTAAACAATTCCTTCAAGTTTTTAGAAGTATGAACAAATAGTGATATAAATAAACATAACTTTTTCACACCTCCATTCAGTTTGCTGCTTTATTCATCACTATTTGAAAAAAAAAAGACATATTCCAAGTAGAACAACAAATGATTCCCAAACTAAATATTTTTGACCTAAAAAGACACAACTAGACTTAAGCACCGTTGTAAACTAAAATTACAGCCAACGTACAAATAATTTGTTTGTGTAGAGAAATTAAGTTTTTAAATGCTCAGTGATGTGAATCACCTTCTGTTTTTCTGGCTCCTAAAGTAGTTTATTCATTCCTTCAATGTAGTGAATATGCACAGAGCAGCACAGTCCTTTAAACGCTGGGCTATCAAGTTCTTTATAATTCAGGGATGGAAAGAGCTTCCCTTAATTTCAATATAAAATTCTATTACTGTGACTTTAAAATAGAAAAATGAATCATACACCATAAAATGACTTACCATTTAATTTGCGTCCCAGTTTAAATTGTGTATTTTCTAATGACAAACAGCTAGTATTACTAAAATAATTAAACAATTCTTGTAGCAGCATTCTGTCTTGAGCAAAACTTGATTACAGTAACATTTAATATGTTTATAGATTTGTGTTTCCGATGATATTTTGCACAGTTTCCCTTTTTTTTTTTTTTTTTTTAAGGATATCATAAAAAACACGGACATTTAAAATATGCAATGATAATAACATTGAATCAAGTCTAATCTAAATTCTGTTTTTTCTAATATGCATATCTTGTCATCAAGATATGAATATCTATCTTTTTTATGTTTTCTTATGTTTACCCCATACATATATTAATAAGTGAGGACAAATTCTATACAAATACGTCTCAATGTCAATGCGGAAGAGGGATTAAAACCTTTACTATAATTTGTATGGTTCTATCAGTAGTTGTACATAGGCTTGTTGTGGGGATTACACCTAGGGCTGGGCAAATATTTTTTATTAAAATGATTAACTGCTTTTGTTACTGAAGATTACTTTTTGTAAAATCTGGATCTGGAAAATCTATATTTATAACAGAAAAACACGCTTTCTATGTGATACCACAAGCTGCAAACATTTAATTTTCTCTATTTTCATTAGCCTATTTGTATTTTCATTCTCTGCTGTATGTTTATTATTTGCATTTCTACGGCTTCAAATTTTGTTGCCCTTCAATGTCAGCTGCCACAGGGTATGATTAGAAAATACAAAATAAAAATAAAAATTATATATGTCATTTTTATTATTAAACTTAAACAAGAGCCTCCTAAATTTCAACAAATGCTGTCCATAAAACAGCGTTTGAACTAAAACGTTTGTACTTAGAACTCTTTAATGCTCAAAACTACATCAGTATATTCTTGCTGATTTTTGCACAGTTTTTATCTTTGTCAGTTAAATAACATGCTTCTGTCATTTCACACATCTCTGAAATTGATGCTATTTTCAAATATCCATTACTGTAAAAATGTCCAAAGCTGTTATTTATTACAGTATTGTATTTGTTTGTTTTTTAACTCTTCACTAATGCGTTATTTTTCATGCAATCTTCTAAGGTACACATTTGTGTGACCTTTTTTTCTATAATATTTTGCTGCTGTAAGACCAGAATTTCCTCATTGTTGGACAATAAAGGGATTTTCTATTTTTTTCTATTCTATTCTATTCTATTCTATTCTATTCTATTCTATTCTATTCTATTCTATTCTATTCTATTCTATTCAAACACACAAGATATATATTTTTTTATAGTTTTTTTTTTGTTACTTCATGAAATAAAGTAAAATATATATATGGTCTAAAAGTTAAAACGTCCGTTGCTAAGGTTTAATGACATTTTTTATTTTTATTTTGCCAAACTGATTTAAAAAGAAAAAAGAATGTAGTGGAAACAAAACAGGATTTTATTTTGAAAAGCCCAACCGGAAGCACATGCATCACAACTCTCACTTGACGTCATTTTTTCCAGACAGTAGTAATTCCCCGCAAGGTAACTTCCTCCGCCAATCCTGGCATTTTGCCTTGAAACGCCGCCGATAGAGTAGAATCTCTCCAAGCCCCGCCGGGTCGCTCCGACCGTCTGTGATGAACCACCTGGTCCTAAAATGTATCTTCTATTGAGTTCTTTTAAAAGAAGCAGCGCCTAACGAGTTCTTTAAATTGAACCCACTGACCGAACCGGATGGTGATAATGTTGGCGTCATGAAGACTGCTTTCCAGACTTTGGAAAACAAATGGTTTTTTTCTGTCGGTGGATCCTCGGGAAATGGCAGAATAGTTCCAACGGTTACCGTAGCCTCATTTCAGAGCACTTTGGGAAAACAACCGGAGGGTAAGTTGAACTATATCCTTTAGAAAATGAAAAGTTTAGCTTGTTTGCTGTCAGAGGTTTCACGAAGACTTCTTCTTTTTTTGTTTTTTTGTGAAGCCCCCCTCCCTTTTTTGAACCACAAAATGAAAGCTCTCAGTTTTTATTTTGTATCTTTTTATAGGTGAACGCACAGCTGATCCACACTCGCGTGTTGGATCATTTTTGAACGCCTCAGGCTGATGTTACTCACTGATAAACTCGCCTGTGGCTCAAAGAATAGAAATCCCTGTTTGCTTTTTGCAGCTGCGCTCAGATCCTCGCTCCTGTTCGGCAGCTGGATGAGACTTTGTTGGAAGTTTTTTCTTTATTTTCATGCAAACTACATAGCGCTGAGGGTCGTTGATGTTTGATCGTGCGTCCCATCATTGCATGTTGAGCGCTATTAGCATCACAATCTGTGTCCTGCAGGAGGGTGGCGCAGCTCGAATCAGAGCAGGCTCTGAAACAACATATCCAGCAAGAAAATCCTCTAATATCATCCAAGCTGGATTATTTGTTTGTTTTTCGTGCAGTATTATAAAGTAGATGATTTATAAACGTGCTTTTTGTAATAATCACTGAAACAGGAAATGTATTTTTGATGCACACAGGGGCTGCATGCTTGTTAGTGAGAAGGTGTAAGCTTCATTATTAGGGTGTTAAAACTGGCTAAAAACACTAGGCAGATAATTGTCCTATAGATGTGTGAATGGTAATGCATTTCTTTTAAGTGTTCCTCGACTTTCTGTTTCTCTTTATAGTTCATTGTTTAGGAGCTTTACAAGAAAATCTGATTTTTACATTTAATTGTATTTTTTGCTGTGTGATTTGCAGTTTAATCTAGAGGGAGAGATGCCACAAAATGGGCTCATCAAACTTTCAATTACTTTCTACTTTATTAGGCATTTTAAAAAAAGCCGTGTTTTTTTGTATTTCAGAAACCATATCTGAGGTTAACAGGAAATGGTTCTAAAAATCCCTGTTAAGACCAAAACCTCACAACATCGGTGCCATGATATAAGTTTTTAAAATTTTCGATATGAGCATTAACCGATACGATATTGACCTGATGCGATATAAGCGCCAATCATACATACTTTTATTACTTGTTTTGTACTGTAGAATGTAGAAAAGGGCTTGTTGAACAGAGAAAAAAGGTCAAAAACAATTAATATAAGAACAACCAGCCTAAGTAATAACCAATGAGTTACAAAAACTTCAAACAGAAGCAGAATGTTTCTATCACCATGAAAGGAGCTGAGACTTTGGATGCTGAAATAATCCGATATTGATGTTGATTGCAACCAGAGCTGTTTCTTACAGATAATATAATTGATAATAATAGTTAAACTTTATTGATCTCACATTGGAGAAATCTCCCTCTGCATTTAACCCATCCCCTTGGAGAGCAGTGGGCTGCCATTGTGCAGCGCCAGGGGAGCAGTGTGGGGTTAAGGGTCTTGTTCAGGGACCCAGAGTGGCAGTCTGTGGGAGTGGGGCTCGAACTCAGAACTTCAGGATTCCAAGCTCTATGCCTTAATAACTAGGCCGCCACTCCCCACTTGTACAGATCACTTGTTGGATGCAATGTTAGTTTACATTGGTGTATTTTAAGTTTTGTACATGATAAATTCTTATTGTGAATTAATTGGGCCTAAGTTCTGGACTTGTGGTGCGTTTAATGCCCAAGATATGAGAACCTCAACAATTTAGAGGACATTTTGATAGTGGCACCGAAAATGTAGGTTAATTAGTATCGGCTTTGTTGTCACGATGAGCGGCAGTTAAGTCTAAATTTTCAGTATTTTGTTGAAATATGTTGTTAGGCCTGTGTCTTCCTTAGACAGTAAGATGATATGGTTAGAATTTGGTGTGAACATGAAAGCATGGTTCTAGTCTTCCTTGCATCAACGTTTAAGCCTGCTGATTGTTGTCTAACATGTGAGGGATATATACTCAGCCCATTTTGACCAGTTTTAAGCCACCAGTTGTCTAAAAGCCACATCCTGAGTATTGTTTCTGACCATGGTCATCCCTCTAAATCCACTGTTCTCTCATCATCTGATGGCTATTAACAGCAGGGTAATGCATCGGGTAAATAAACCCAAACTGTTTTAAACTGGTTTCATGAAAATAATCTCGAAGAACTCATTTTAATGGAGCGCTTCTGGGATGTGCTAGAGCAAATGTTTATGTCATGGACGTGATGCAGCTAAATCTGAAGCTGTGATGTCAGTTTGCGACAATATCTCACAGGAATGTTTCCAACATCTTGGTGGATCTGAGCAATAAAGAGTCACAGGGGTCCATTGCATTACTGGCATTTTGTACCTTTATAAAGTAAATGGTGAATGTTTCCATATTACAATCAGACAGTTTTTATGGATAATCAGCAGCAATTAATTTAATTCTGTATAAATTATTAGAATAAAGTCCACAGATTAGCAGCAGGTGAAAGCCCTGAACTTGGACGAGTCAGGGAAGTGATTGAAGAATCTTTAGCAGGGTTCAGGGGATCACCATTCAGGTCATTTATCATGGTAACAGCTGCCAGTATGAGGTGGTGCTTGGCGGTCATGCGTTTGTGTGGTCTGGAGAATGTAACCCCATAGCTGACCAGTCACTGACATCAGACTTCTTCTCTGTAGGGCAGACGGCGAGCGGATCAGAAGACGTCAGATCGCCCAGAGTGCTTCAGAGTCAAGGTCTCTTTGTGACCTTTTATTTATATTTTCACTTAAATGAATCAGATAGGATGCCCCCCAATGCCCTTGTTTTTTTTTTTTTAAATGTCTGTTTATTCTTATTTTGGGAAAAAATATCCAAACTGGATATCTTCTGTAGCGTTGCCTTGCGTTATGCTATCTCTTTTAAACGTAAACTCAAAAATTTTTCCTAAAATGGGGCTGGGCGATATTGACTTAAAATCTTATCATTATATTTTGTGATATTATTGCAATAACAATAAAATTAACTATAAAAAAAAAACCAAAATGTATTGCTGTGACTGCACTCTACAGCAATCACAACCCACACTTAAAAAAAAAAAAAAAACACCCTTAAAAGAATACACTATTAAAGATAATAAAAAAAACTGGTAATGACCCAGTGGGAGAAAGGAAGGAAAAAGTAAAAAACAAATTCTGAACATTTGCTCATTTTTTGGAGTTTTTAAGCATCGTTAGTTCAAATTATGTTTATTTATGGTAATTAAAAGTCTTATCTTGAAGAGAAATGTATTATAGTAACTATAACCAATAGGATAAATGAGTCTCATAACCCAAAAAATAGCCAATAGGTGTTTTGGTACCCCTGTTCAATACCCACATCCTGCCCTTTTAAGTACAAGCACTTCCGTGTATTACTTTCATTTAAAAACAATATGTATCATAAAGAAAGTTTCTTTATAGCCCACATATAATTTACTACCTAGCTAATAAAAAATATGAATATTAAAACCCTACATGCTGTTTATTTTTTGACAATTTAATGTTTTTTTTTAACACCAAAGAAAAAAGCTCATTATATTTCTACAACTAAAACCAAGGACCACCTCAATATTCAGCCCACATTTTCTAAAAATAAATAAATTATAAAAATGGGGTTTGGTTCAATAAAATGTGCTCTAATGTTTAATAAATTAAATCATAAATGACATTCGTAGGGCAACGGATGAAGTTGTTCAAAATCATTCCAAAGAGTCTCCAAGGGTTACCCATAGCATTATTTTATCAAAAGATAGGATAGATACCTCATTTTCTGAAACCCTAAGGCTTCTTTCCAGCAGAAACTATGTTGCATTTAAGGACATAGATTTTTGAAAAGAGGATTTCTCCCTGTAGAAGTAGGTGATTCTTAGTCTGATGATTACACAGGGTCAAGATTAATAATATCCATCATTTTCCTTTTGTATTCCACCATTTTCTGTTGATTGAACTCCCGAGCCTCATCCTTAGCAAATTCAAACCAAAGAAATCCCTTTTGCCTTCTGCCTGTTGTTAATATAATAGAGTCAAACAACCAAACCACATGTCCTTACAAAAATATAACAATATATGCAATTTTTTATGATGCTGGTAAAGATTCTTTATGATCTTTATGATGCACGTTTGGTATAAAATCTCCTCTTTAACTTAAGAAGTGTGAATCTGTCACCACACCTCTTGGTCTGATTCATTTCGGGGTTTTCTTGGAGCATCAGTGAACTAAATCAACTTTTAAACGGATTTTCTTTACCTCAATCTGAGCAAAGCAGTGCTCATTTTTTCCAACCTAAATGCGTTTTTTGATAAAGCTTTGATTACCGTGATTTATGTGTCTACAGTTGGCGGGTCCAACTCCCGGCTTTTAAGGTCATGTCTTGCACATTACAGATCCAGTGGTTTCATTCCTGAGTATTAGATCCAGTTCTGCAGGAGCCTGCTAATGACCCATTCCCCATATTCAGGATTTTTGAACGAGGGAAACATCTGAGACATGCGGGACGGCAGCCCCTGAGGGCTAACTTTGAAAAACCACAGGTCTACTGTGTTGCATTCCAGTCAAACAGGTGTTGTGTATGATGCCTCTCCTGCATGCATGTGCAGCCTTTTTATCCAAGTGGCGTATGATTTATCGGCTGCTTTCACATCCAACCCTTGATTTGTTTTTAATCATGCCAGAGTTGGGTTTCTTAAGCTGATCACATTGATGAAAAACCCAATCAAAGAGCCTGGAACTGTACTATGGAGCAGTTACAACTGCTATTTACCTGGACCATGGAGTGGATCTCTTGCAGCATGAATACATGCTTGTCTGTCCCGGTGTAGCAGCAGCAGCAGATTTGAGTGGAATAAGCAGTGGGGGTTGGAGGAGTACAAGATTTAAACACCAAGTTTGCAACAGAAGCCTTGATTCAGACTCTGCTCTTTGTGTTTTTGTTTGTTTTCCATCAGCGTAATAACCCCCCTCCCGTCCCCACCCCCGAAAAAACCTGTTGCAACTGCCTGATGCGGTTTGCCCCAGTCTAAGAAAATCCTCAGTGTAAAAGCAAATAGTGCCAGCTGAAAAAATTGACTTTTCTCACTTTTACCAGTTTCTAGACTCAGCTGGTGAAAGAGTTATGATAAAAAAAAATAACTTTAAAGTTAATGTGTAACAGGTTTTTTGTGACGTTAGTGTTGTTCATACTATAAAAGATTCTCCCCTAGTTATGCTGAAGTTTAAAGCCTTAGTGGGTTCACTATACTGGAGTGATCTGCATGAGTGGGCTGACATACTTTCAAGAGTTTTTGCCAGACTTAAACCCTCAACTAATCTGACTGATATTTATCTAGAGATTACAGCTGTCATGCCGGTATTACCCCGACGGATTTTCCTCCATCATTAATGTTTCACTCTGTGACTTGAGGCTCTCCTGATGATTCAAGGGAAAATTACTGGAAATAAGTAGTTATTAAGACAAACTATTATATGTAGACAAAGAAAAATGTGTTGAATTGACAGTAGGAAAAAAAAAAATGGAACTATTCTACGAGTAATAACTGAAGAATATCAGACCCCGCTGTCAAAGTATCAGTCAAAGTTTTGAACTTTTGTTTTTTGGATATATGTAATACTTGATATAGGAGAGTATGCTGCAAGATGGAAAAAAAAAAATCAGCGTGACATTTAAGGTAGCAGACATCACACGACCTCTTAAATTGTCAACAAAATGGTGCTAGCTGTCACCACGAGCTCAAACGTCTGGCCTCACGAGTCCTTTGCTGTGGGATCAAAGACGTCGCCTCAGCAGTTCAGATTCTAGAAATCATCTCTGCGTGTGATGGACGAATGTACAGTACATGAAGGGAGCGAGGCCTGAATGCCCCTGTAGTAAGCGGTCTGCTATGTGCATGTGATTAGGGGATACATTTCCGACTTCTCTTGCTATGTTAAAGATCCCTGTGAAGCGCCACTCTTCTGTTGCCTAAACTCTAGAACTATCCTAAATATCTGCAGCCAATCTTCATGTTTATATGCACTTTCTGCGGTTCAGTGTTAGATTAATAAAATCACTCATTAAATCTGCAGTGCACCATGATCAATAATGAGATGATTGGTAAAAGGGAGAAAATTCCCTCTTTCAACGTATAGTTTTGGGGTTGCATTGCTTCAGAGCTGCATTGTTCTAGAAAAAATTTGAAAGCAGAATCGAGAAAAGTTATTCCATTGGGGTTTTTGTTACCGGTACTACCTTGACATTTAAATGTAGTTGTGCCCCCGCACCTCTTCACTCCTCCACGTAGTCACATAAGATATAAACAGATGGTTTTGTCTTTGCATTGGAGCTCTTACTTTGTGCTTCTTCTTGATCTTGTCTTGTTCTTCTCTTTATTGTCCATAGGTCACATCCTCGCTCCCTGTTTTTGATTCACTGGCCTGGCAAACGCTCACAGTTAAAGCAAGCAAATCCAGCTGCATTTCCATCATTATTTTAAATTCTTATTTAGAAAAATTGAATCAGAAAATCTTGATGGAACCTTCAAAATTAGAAAATAAACCCCCTCAAATATGCTAGAAAAGTTTTTATTCTCACTTCAAAAACATGGCTGCAAGCAACATCATTATTGTTATAAAGGAACAACGCTTAATTCCTTTCACACAAATGGAATCGCCACATTTTAGCATTTCCTTTTTTTTCCTGAACTTTTAAAAGTTCACTTAAAATTCTCATTTTGATTGGATGGAAACTGATTTACTCCATAGTGTATCATTTTCATTGAGGATTTGGGACAGAAATTGGGTGTGAAGACTAATAGATTTTTTTGTCAGAGGGTGTCCAGATTTCAGAACACAATCACTTCTCTGTACCCAATCATTCGTCTGTCAGCGGTGACTGGAACAATATGCAAGTGCGGCCAGAGAGCAGCTCTAAAGCCCTGCAAACCTCTTCTAGATGGGTTTTAGGACTGGGGGGTGTATCCGTATGTGTGTGGAATCGAGTTACAAAGTCTGTCATTAACCAGGGAGCTGCAGTTATGAGACCAAGATAGACTGCTTCAATTCTGAGCACGACTCTGTGGACAATCACTCTTCAATGTAGGTGGCTCTAAGTCTGAGGGGAAACGGGGGTGAGGGAGGGCTCTAAGTGTGTGTGGTAGAATATGTATGTGTATTTACGCAGGTGGAGGGAAATAGGGAGCAGGGTTTGCCCTGCAGTGTAGAATAGCGCCCTTGCTTCACTTTTTTGTCCTGTTTCTGGTGCGCTTGTGCTGACTTATGAGAAACTTTTACTAGCAACAGACCTGGCATCAGATGAGGCAGCAGACTGCGGAGGAGCACACAGCATGTGGGTTTCGTTTGCTTCTTGTGTCCAGCTTTTTACAAAGGGGCCCTCTGTCTGCAGTGTTATTTTTAGTCCAAAAAAAAAATAAAAAATTGAGCCTTTTAATAATCATCAGCCTTATGGAGCCCCTAACTGATCACGATGAGGAGAAGCTTGTCTGGGACTCGTGGGCTGTGCTGTCGCAGCAGGCGCTAGGATGCTAGTGGGGGTAGAGAATGGGATTAAAGGGACTGCCTTTGTATCTGCCGGATTTCCAGTCTTGTTCCAATGCTTGGTGTTTAGGAGTGCCCTCTTTCTTCTGTTTTTTTTTTTTCATCTAGTGGCCCTCGCACAGACTTATTGATTTCCTCCTATTCTGTGTTCAAATGTGGATGAGGAGCAGTGGAGACAGGAAGAGGG